TTTGGTTTCAAATTTTAAAGCTATATATTATTTTATATAGCATATGAAAGTTATAATATAATTTTATATAGTCATAAGACATGTTTTGATAATAAAATAAAGTTAAAAATTTTTTTTTTTAATTCTATCGCTTATCTATTATTAATTATAATTTTTTTTTTTTTTCTATTTATTATTTACGTAAATTTTACCATTATTTTAATATATAAATATAACAAATGATTTTTATAAGTGCAAAATAATATTGATCACGTGATCGGAGTGCTCCGATAAAAATGTGTCAAAGAAATGATCACATAAAGCCCAACCAATTTAGAAGTTCTGGAACACGTTACTCTTCTATCCATATCTATTACAATAATCAATGAATTAATATCACAGCAAAGGCGCAATCACAATATAACAAATAACCATACCTCCATCTTGCCAACTTCAGTAGCAGACATAGGAATAATTGAAATAGCCATCTCTAGGTCTTCTTGATCACCCATCATAACCATTGTACCATCTTCATCTTTGTACTTCATTTTTAAAGGATTATTTAATGAAAATTTCTCCTGTATTCTTTTTGAGAGTTCCTCATATGCTATGTTTGTGGATATCATAATTGCTCGTGGCGTTTTATCTTTATAATAACATTTAACCCTGATCTGGAATACAAAATATATAATTTTTAATATATTATAATATATCTAATAATAAAAATTTATAATTGTTCAAAATGGAAAGGATGTTGCTATTGGTCTATACAAACCTTAGAAACTATTTTAAGTGATTCACTTGATTGTTGAAAGTTTTGTTGTGGTGGTGAGATCATTTCAAATTGTGGTTCATCTTCATCACCGTAAATATAACCATCATCCACAATATTACTGTAATCATAGTCACCATCTTCTGGTGTTGGTGGTGTCGCTAATCCACCTTGCAAACCCAATGGTGACCTAAAACTAGATCCTTTTAAAGGAGCGTTAGCTCCACGACCTCGTAGACTTGAAGTCCGGCCAGTACGTTGTTCATTTAGACTTCTATTATTATTATTGTAATTTAAACCAGAAAAATTAGATTAACATTATGTTTGATATATAATTGTAATTGTCCACGAAAATATACATTTGATTGTAATCTTCATTATCATATTGACCCGGATCTTGATTATAATCATTATAGCCATCTGTGACGGACATATTCTTCATTTGTAGCTGCAGATACTGTTGCCGATTAACAGTATTTAATCTTTGAGGTGTACGTACACCACCTCTCGGAGAAACCGCTCTAAGAGAGTTTGATCGTGATAACGGATCTCTAAGATTAGAAGCTCCAACCGGATCTCTAAGACTAGAAGATCTTTGCATGGTGGGACGGTTTGGTTCTCTGGTAGAATTCACCCGAACCGGAACAGTAGGAAGTTTTGGTGAAGGACGTCCACCATCTATTGTATTAGAACGTTGAGGATTATTTTGCAAT